TAATATGACTAAGTTGCGAAAACAAGGTCAAACAACTTCTATACAATGGAAGGAAACTGCGACCACAAAAAAAGACCGCACCATCTTGGTCTTCATACTTTCGATTATGAAAATAAGTTAAAATAAAGTCTCTACAGCCAAAATGGGTTGCTACTAAACCAAAGGCCCCATCAGCCTGAACTTCTCATAAGCTAACGATGAAAGGAAGTTTAGTTCATGTTGCAAGCTCCCTTTCTAAAGTATATACACCTTTCTGATAGTCAGACTATAACGTTACGCCGATTTTTGAGTACATATTTGGCACATTAAGGTTATCGACATATTTTTCCAAGTCTATTTTGCGAATATATTCTTGGTTGCTAAAGTCAAGCTAAAAAGAGTTTCAAAAAAATAGTTATGATTCTTATAAGATGCGTTCACCCTATTTCATCTAAGGTGATGCAAACCCACTTATAAAGGAAAACAGTTATTATTTCTAGTTTTAACTGGTCGAAGTAGATTGTTTTTTATTAAGTGGCTTGATAAGGGGTCCACTAGTCAATAATAATTATGGGTTTTTCTTAATGTACTCAGTTAATCTTATCTCTAAAAGGACTTATCTTGTTGTATATTGAATGATTGTCTTCCATACATGAACTCAGTATAATCCGAGTTCTTTATATTTAAATATCTCATTGAGCATGCTTTTAGACGGAACTCCTCCGGTACTCTTTAATATATATATATATATATATATCGTGAAATTCTAGCAAAACTAACCTCTGTAGTGTTACTCGTATTATTCATTGACATATTCATCCACCAGTCATAGATCCTGTATTCTGCAAAACGTTTTAGCAGCTGAACCCAGCCCAAATTATCTTCTAATATTGTATATATACCATGTAAGGAAATTCACAATGATTCAATCCTTTATATGCTATGCACAGTTCAAGCAGATGAAGCAACAAAAGGTTATGCAGGATAAACTCCGTCGCAGAGAGTACGAAATTGGTCTGCTCAAATCTGAACTGGCAGCTAAGAAGCGCGATCTTTCTGCAGCTACTAAGCGGTTGTACAAACTAGAGACTGCAATGGTAAGTATTCAAAGTGCCGGATCTGAAGTGGCGAAAGAATGTGGCGGTATGTGTGAATAGCATAACACAACATCTGATAAGCATTCACCTAATGATTGAAAGCTTATGGCCGATAGATTCAGTAAGCATATTCAGCAATGTAGCCGAGTAAAATCAGATCATCGGTATTAGTTATTTGTCTTGTCCGTAAGGATTATTTTACAAAAAATTTAAATAGTTAGCGTAATCTTATATGGATAGACAGACTTCAACGCAATTGGCATTCATAAAAGATTTCGTGGGTAACTTTA